AGTTTGTTGCACTTATTGTATTCATACTAGTCTGTTTCTGTACTTCTGCTCTGGTTTATGCTCTTAGATGCTTGTTTAAAGGAGATGCACTTATGACTTCTGGTGACTAGTAGTTCTCTTGAATACATATGTTGAATACACTTATTGTAAGTCTCTTTGTATAAAAGGGTCTGCTAAATGACTAATGTAGTGTATGAATCAGAGTAGCCCTGTAGCCAGCCTCACACTCCATTAGACATTTGAACATGACTTACTGATACTGGAAAGTCTTAGAGATGAATCTAGAGATGAATCAAACTGCATCTTTAGTGAGTGCTGCTTGTTTCTCACACACCCACAGTGCCATACCAAACGCTGAAGATCCTGCCTCCCTGCTCTTCACATTTCAAGTCTGAGGGTTCAGTAAACAGACACAGTGGAGGTTCTGCATGCAACGGCTCCATCTAGTGGAAGAGTCACATGCTGAGCAGGACGACTCAGCATTTCGAGCTTTGTGCTGGATGACTTCAGGGAAGGGCTACAAGATCATTAGACAGTGTTTACCGACTGAGTTCCTTATGACTCAGACCTGGGATCAGTTGGCTTGTGTAGCACACACTGAAACAGGGACGACACGAGTGTCCGATCATTGGTTTCTGAACACAGGAAGTGTGAATGACTGCGAATGTATTGATCCAACATACAGAACATGCATCTAAGCTATAAAAGATAAGGGAGGAGGGATCACTAACAGGTGGTCCTGATACACAGATCGTGGCTGATATTGTATACATTCAAGGATATTAATGACAAGGTCTATCTCTTTAATTGCACACTCAGGGTCACTTTCTCTGATTAAATCTCATCAGGACTGTGTGGACTGAGTTCGGTTGACATCCCCTCATTCTCTTGGCCCACCTCAACCTGAGCTGAGCTTTAATCATTAGAGGATGTTCAGGGCCTCTGAAACCCATGTTTGATTATAAGTAGAATGCACAAAAGGGAGATTTGAAGATAGGCAGAAAGAGAAACATGTTCTTCCCTGCAGCACCTTAGAAGGTCCGAGGACCACCTACCAGTCACATCATGAGGGAAACAATGATGTATGCAAATGATCTGGTGCAGAATAAAGAGGCTGGATCTCTAAGAACATTGTGCTCTTGTTCCAGGGGTGGAATGTAACTAATACATTTAGGCTACTCTGTTACAAGTCAAAGTCTTACATTGAAAATCTTAAGTAAAAGTACAAAAGTATCATCAGTAAGATGTACTTAAGATATGAAATCAATCTTCATTGTCATTTGATGTGGTTATCACACATATATTAAAGAGAGACATAAATGGTTGGTGATAGCATGGTGGATATAGGAAACATAATGGCGATATTAACGGGAATGACTGAATTACACCAGAATGTTCCTTAATGCTCCACAGGCATCTTCTGTGAGACTACCAGGCATCAGTAAGGTTTAGCGCTACACGTTACAAACCTGTGATTGATCGCATTGATCACACTTAAGAGTGATTCCTGATCTGCTTCATGTGTCTGCACATCCACAGCATGTGTGCTGCTGATTCCCAGGCTGCACACAGGTTCTCACTACCTCCATGAGTCTTCATGAAGTGATCAGGAGCCGAGCTGCTCTCCTCCTTTAGCTCTCGTTAGGTTTGTCCTGCTGTCTTACCCTCCATGATATAGAATGAACAAAAGATGATCGCACAGTCCAAACTGGAGTAGAACTTGTGACATAACAGAATGAGAATGTGGCAATATGTTAAGGGAAGATTTACTTGAATGTATTGCAGATTTGTCTATGATTTCAAAATAACTGCATTAGCCAGAAACACCAGGGCCTGGTCTCCATTCAGTGTGGTCCACTCTCTGCCCCCCTCTAGTGGCTCAGGCTCAGGGGGCAGGTAGGCTGCAACCGGCCAATAAGGGAGCCGACAGTTTCAGCGCCACTTGTTTATTAGCCTTTAAAGGAGAAGTTATGTGATATTATTTAGCTTTCTTATTAAAAGATCCCATGAAAATCCAGACCAACAATAAACCCTAACAAGTATGTGCGTCTGAAAACCTGAGATCTCCTCTTCCTCTGAGCCATGGAGCTCTGGTGACATGTTCCTTCATCCCCAAGATGAATCACACCGGACTGCTGCCACAAATACTCACTCCAGCATCACTTGTGGATTAATCCACTGCTGAGAAGAGTCCCCAACAAGCCCACTGTTACACTGTTTAAGGGCCTAGTTGAGCCGCTTGTTTGTTCAATCAACATAGATACTTATGAGGTGTTTGTAGATTTACTTCATTAGGAGAGACACAGAGTCGAGAAGTCATAACGTATAGAAAGTGAAAACTAAAACAGGATAAGGCCACATATGCTGCCTGTCTTGATTCGATCCAAAGTGTCGGTGTTAGGAATACGTCTCTTCACACGTTCCTCAGGGACACAGATCAAGCTTTGTGAGTCATTCACATTTAGTAGTTTCCAACCTGTTAGGACGTCCTCAGGCCGGGTTCACTGGATGCGGACGCAGCATGAAGCACAGCGCGCTGTCTTTAGTTGCACCAGCAGAAGCCGGGCTGTTCACCCAAGAAGCAGGATTGTGCTTCTCGGTTTCTTTCTGCAGCACAGGTGATGGACTTCTGTCTGTTTGAACACAGCGGACACGCCTCCTTTAGATTAGCTCGCTGTATGTTACCTTCAGGACACAACTGACACTCACACTGCTGTTAGAAATGAAATTTAATAACATGAAGAGCTCATCAAACTGAGATGTGATGGTCCACACATGAAGCAGGTCTCATGCATGGAGCTATGAAACTAACATACAGCAGAATAATAAACTGACAGAAGCTCAATCAATACAGATCCATTGAGTCTGTTTGTTTCTCTGGGTCAGGGTCAGCTTCAGCACAACTTGTTTGTACAACGTGTTGATAGTCCACATAGAAGGTGAAGGGAAGCGGAGTGTCAGAGAGAGGAGAGACAGACAGTATTGTTTCAGACAGTAAGACTCACGAGTGAAGAAGTGTAGAGAAGGCAAAGAGGGGGCGGAGTGTGTCTCTGTGGAGAACACCACCAGGTGGCTCTAAAGCCTTCACTGTGACTGACAGCAGAAAGAGCCTCTGTGGTCCCAGTAGAAGAGAAGACGTTCATGTTTCACAGCAGAAAGCTGCAGGAATGAGTCCTGTTCCCTCGTGTGCCTCTGCTTGGATGTCTGTTTACCACAAGCTGAAGAGATTTAAACGTTTAGTTCTCGGATATAAAATAAGTCAGTAAATGCTCCTCTGGTGATTTTAGTCTAAATGAGACGACTAAACATCATCAGAGAACACTTTAGGTGAAGTGGTGTTGATTTGAGAAGATTATTTCACTGAACTAAATGAGTAGGAGTCATAAAGTGTTTCCACACAGATTCTCTTGTGTAGAAGAATCCCATTGGCCTTGTATGGAGATTACCAGGGCGACACGTCGTCCCTGCTGCGGTCTGTACACCTACAGTATGTGCATTGAATGGAACTTGGAACTGTGCCGTCAGCGGTGAACCAGCTTCCTCCTGCCACTCACTCGGGTCCACAGGCTGCGAGCCGTCTGGGCTATGGTCCCCCTGCGGGGCAGACGGAGGCTCCTCAGAGGCTCCCTGATACATGCCAGCACCCCTGGCTCAGAGGGCTGCCCCAGGTACTCATGGGAAACGTGGTTGATTCTCTTCAGCTGTTTGCTGTAGTAGTTCCTCAGGTCACAGAGCTCTTCGGCTGCAGTCTCAGAGATGATGGAGGCGTGGGATGGAGAGCTGGGCACCGTGTTGGTGGCTGGGCCGGGACAGGGAACAGCTGCTGCTGCTGCTGCTGCTGCTGCTGCTGCTGCTGCTGCTGCTGCTATGTCCGTACGGGGTTTCCTCCTCACTCTCTGAGGGGTGGTGGCTTTGCGTTTGGAACAAGGTTTAACTGGATGTGATGGTGTTTTCACACCATCACTGTTATCTATAATGTTTATTTCAACGTCCACCTCGATGCCATGGTGAGGCGTGATGGAGCCCCCGTGGTTCTCCTCCTCCTCTCCAGGTCGGTCTGTCAGCTGCTTCTGTCTCCTGGACTGGTTCCTCTGCTCTTTGAATACTTTCTGTTTGGGTTGTGGGGGACAGCCGTGGTCCATGACAATGGGGTCAAAGGTCATATCAAGCTCCTCCTCGGCTGACGTGTCCTGTAACCATGTGAGAAGCTAGTGTCATTGAACAACAGGAGAAAAGTTCATAACGTCCATTACTTACTGTCCTTTAGAGCAATAAGCAATTTAAATAGTAGCGTAACAGAATGTCTACTCTCTGTGAAGTCAGTTAGTGAGAGTTAGTGGGAGCATGAACATCAGCACCAGATCATGAGGAATAGGCTTGGGCGATAATAATGACAAATGGCATATTTGATTTCTGTTAGGAAGGAAATGCACCGTCCATCTGAGCGACAGGACGTCCTGTTCCTGTTCTTCACTAATGAACACAAGAAAAGGCAATCAGCCAGCCGAGCCACACAGACACCAAGCAGTGGAGAGCAGAGCAGAGCACGGGGCTGAGCCTGTCTGCAGGAACAAGAAGTCGTCATCTACAGTGTAGGTCACACTCGCATGAATTACATAACAGCGGTGTATACACTTCTAGTGTGCAGTGAATATTTGTGAATCTGTGTGAATAGGCAGCATCTTTAGACTGCTGCTGACTAGCACACTGTGAGCTGCACCTCCCTCCATTAGCAGAAGGACTAATACGGAGCACATTATTCAGCTCATCTTTTCTTGCATTAGTGTGACCAGAGAGCCTGACCCCATCAATAAGAGCGTGTGGTGCCAGTAATGTTTATCGCCCAAGCCTGCTGGTTAGGAACAATCAGATGACATCATGCTTATTAATTTTAGACTTAGAAAAGCATTTAAATGACATAAGCACAGATTCCTCCAGCACTCAAGACTGTCTGATCCAAAAGTGAAGCACCCAGTCTGAGCGTGGACAGAGCCATGCCGACAGAAGCAGTGAACAGAGTAAAGAAGGAGGGACTGTACTTTGGCAGCTTGTCTTCTGGACAGGGTGGGGGTTAGGGGAGGTCTGTCTTGACTTTCTTGGACACAGGGGCGTCTCCACCACTGTGAACTGATCTCTTTCTCTCTTTGGCCTTGCCCTGGCCACTCACAGCTTTCACCTGCAGGTCATTAATAACAGTCTTTACCGGTGAGGTTCAAAGACCCACACGAGGTGGACGAGGGACACGAGAGGGGAGGACACTCACATGGACATACACAACACAATCCTCCATTCATCATCACTGTCCAAGGCTGGAACCCGTGCACTCACATCATGTTCCAGGGTCTGTGCACATCTACATGGAACAGTTTAAGACCGGAGCTCAGGAGGCTGAAGGGTGGTGTGAACAGATCAATAACAAAATCCATGTCCAAAGCTTTTAACCACATCTCAGTCTTCTTCATCATCATTTCATTCCTTGTTCACGTTACAACTGAGCCAACTGTGATCTGCTGATGAAGACCATGAGAGGCGTTTAAAGGTCCGGAAGCAGACACGGATAGTAAGTGGACTTTGTTAAGAGTGAGCTTGATTATTTCATTCCTCAAGTGACTGCTAGTGGTAATACTGTAACGATGATGAACACGTACGTCAGTAAACAGAATGATAAAGGCAACATGAGAGCAGAGGTTGACTCTACAGCAGTCTGTGATGAGTCATGTTGGGTACTAGTGATCATTAGTAGCTATGTGCATCAGTGTACAGTCACAACAGACTTACCTCCAGGGATCTCTAGAGACAATGAGTAGAAGACACAACATGTTAAAATGAGCAGAGCGGACTGGAACAAACATCCCATCAATACAGAAACACAGGAGCTGCTGAGGGGAGGTCTCTGCTACACTCTTAGTTACAACGGCTCAACTCTAATGTCGCCTATTTCATCTTTTCATGCATTTCCAGTAGTAGCAGGGCTGTGACATCTGAGAGGTTGTTCCTGCTGCCGTGGAGGACAGTTTAACGTCGGCCACCATTACAGGGAGTACTTCACACAGCTCCTGTTTCTATCTGCATACATGTCATGTTGAAGCTTCTCAGTGTTCACTGACACTACTGTAGTTGTATTTAGATTGTTCGTAACTAGTTGTGCTTTTTAACTGGACTGCCAACAGTGGAGAGAGGACTGTCGAAAAGTTGAATTCTTTCATTTGGAGTTTTAAGAAAATAACCTTCTCAGGCAATCCATGCACTATGTCAGATGTTTGATGTGTGATCAGCTTTACTCACCACAGCAGGCCCCGCCACTGATGACCTCATCTTCATGCTGAGCGTGTGAGTCTGGCTCTTCAGCAGAGGAGCTTTGCGGCCCAGCTTCATGTAGAAGTAGGTGGTGTACGGAGTGAAGCTGAAATCCTCTCTGAAGGCACCACACACAATGACATGCCAATGTCAGACAAGTCTCAACCTGTTCCTCTTACAATAGCTCCACTAGGAGCATTACCACCGAAACAATCATTACTGTCCATGTACCTGTTGGAGAAATGGTTTCAGGTCACAGGTTAGTCCTCAGTGAAGGATAGCAGACAGGGTCCTGAATGTCCAGAGTCTTCCATAGTTTCTTACACAACCTGTCCAGAGGAAAGCCACCTCAAACCTGCAGCCTGCATGTGCTCTACATGTGCTCTGCATGTGCTCTACATGTCGGTACACAATCAGGACAGACTGAGGTCCCTTCATCTCACAAGTTAAGGAACAAACAGTCACTTCTTCTGGACTGATTGTGGTCATGTTTGCTTCACGCTGTATGTAAAGTAGCTGAGCGATTGACCAGTACTGTCAATTAGTTACGATTTGTTTCAACATTCAAAGAAACAGATTCCAGTCAGTCAGAGAAACAGTCCTCCATAAAGAAACTGACCAATAAAGCTTATGTATTATGGCACTACATTTATGGTGGAGCTGGGCGATAGGGCCTAGAATTGATATATACACCAACAGTATATCACAGCATATTGGTTTTTCCTAAAATGTCAATATAAATGCTTCTGAAGGGTAGAACACTGGTGTGAAACTGCATGTCATCATTTCAACCATCCCAAAGTCAATGTGACCAGTCAAAACACTACAAGTTATCTTTTCTCTTTCTTATTAGCATCTATAGGTATTTGCAGAAAAGACGATTCAAATGAATAGGAAATAAATGATTGTAGTTTTATCTGAATCTTGTCACTAGTAGTTTTAATGACGTGTTAAACAGCTCATAATTCATCTGTTAGCTCTGTGCTGTCACTGTGACACTGAACAGCATGATGGGAATGAATTACAATACAAGAACTGTCTGATCAAGTTAGTTCCAAATGTTTTCAAGGCTGTTCCTCTATGGAGTATTGTGGAGACAAATAGTGAGCTTCATATCTGTGACCCATGTGGTGTCTGTGACGTGATCGTCTGTGCCGCTGTGTGCCCACGTTAGACTGTCATGCGGTGGCACGTGTGTAAATGTGACTGGTCGGAGCTTCTCCTCTACCCGTTTAATATCGATGATTGAAGGGATGATGAAGAAAAGAAACAAGAGCAGATGGCGAGTCACCTGAGGTATCCCTGCAGCAGCAGCATCACAACCACAGCTTCAGCCTGCAGCCGACTCAGGCTGGTGGTCTGGATCATCTTCCTGCGCTTGGCTGGGCCTTTGCCCATCCACGCATCCACCAGCTTCAGAGGAGTCAGCTTCTCATCCACCGACGCCGACACCTCCACAATTTGCACCACCTGCTTGGCATGCTGGGTAATGTCCACGGTGATGTAGTCTGGAGAGATAGGTCAGAAGTTGGCTTTCCACATCCCTAAAGAACACATGCAGCCATGGATTCTATTAAAACACATCACATACACACCTTGTGCATGGCGGCAAGTATCACACATCTGGTTGCATCCTTCATCGTCCCACACCTCGTCAAAATGAACAGCCATGAGAGAGCGCCGACACCTTCACACAGCAAACACAAAACGCAACAGTCAAGTCACGGCGCGTAAGCTGTCCTCTCTGACACCATGGGACGTACTGAGAACCTGCTACCTGTCCACATTCTGGCAGTAGTCCACTATCTGCAGCAGCTTCTGCTGACCAACGTTCTCCATCACCACCATGGTGCTGATCCTGAAGATGTCAGAGAAGCCAAAGTAGAGGATGCAGTCTGCTTGACCGTCGTCTCGACCTGGAGATCCACAGACAGGTATTGACTGAGCTGTACCAGTATGAAGTAGTATTCTGTCCTGATAGGAGTGAGGTGGTGTCTACCTGCGCGTCCACTCTCTTGATAGTAGTTCTCGATGGACTTACTGATGGTGTGGTGGATGACAAACCTGACGTCAGGCTTGTCGATGCCCATACCAAACGCCACTGTGGCTACCACCACCTATAGGACAACAGTATGACAAAGTGGAACTCAATGGCAGCCGCACATACAGCTCGCATCATCATTTGTAGGGCTGCACAGGACCCCTTGCACTGAGGGCAGTCACCAAATCCACAGTCCCGGGAAGCAGCGAGGTCTGGCTGAGGGGTGTTGTAAAGCTTACAGCCGGATCCACAAACCACCTTCACCCTGGACCTTTACAAGACCCACCTACGGGAGCCGGTTTGTGGTGCACATGGAGGTAGTGTGCCCGGCGAGAGCCAGCCAGCACCGGGGAGAGCTGTCGTCTCCAAGTGATACATATTTTAAATCAAAGTATTTTTGGTCATAATCTATTTTGACCAGTGGCGGCTGGTGGAAAATGTTCTAGGTAGGGCATCCTATCAATTTCAGCAAACATCCCAGTATGATTTAATGCAAAAAAATTAAAGTATCAAACACGCATTACTACTTTGCAGTTAAATATTTAACACGAAAAAAAGCAGTAAATAACACTTATATAATATAATATAACATGTGTATTTATTGAGATGCCCTATGGACCTTGTTATAGGAGGTAAAGATCAGGAGAAGTAAACATGAAGTGTAATTATGAATACTGATGTTAAATTAAGCTATGATGAGTTTTCACTGTTAATTTACCATCTCAGTTACATGTTGATGCCTCCATGACCAAGTTAAGCAGATGAGACTGAGGACAACTATGTAGAAGAACAGATGTTCACTTTGCCTAATATGTAGCTTGACAGAGTTCTCCATGTGTGCCCTGGTGTTCTCGTTTCCTTACCTCCTCATCCCTCACTCCCTCCCTACCCTGGTGTTCTCATGTTTCCTTACCTCCTCATCCCTCAC